TCCTCCTTTTGCAGGGGTGCACCTATGGTTTGAGTCCTCTTGGCCTTGTTCTGCACCAAAATATTCTTCCCAGGATCCCTCATGTGTTTCCTTCCAGAACCTGTTTTCTTCCCCTTATTCAGGCCTTTTGCTCGAGTTAAAATGCTAAGCGTGTTTTGGTTGGATTTTTTTTTTTTCCACAGGGCACACGGCTTCAAATTGTGTCAAATCCCAAGGTTTTGTTCTTCCTGCTACTTCTGCACAACAGTAAACCTTTATAAATTTTTTTTTCCAGAGTCCTCTTTTCCTCTTAGGCTCTGGCAGCAGGAGCAGAGGTGTGGGGACAATGCAATGGCTCTGTGCTAAGCTGGGAGGTGTCTTTACTACCCAGGCCATTGGAGGCTTTACCTGCTGTATTTCAGGTTGATAAAAACACAGATTGTAAGTGAAATATTCCTAGCCCTAAAGATGGAAAAGCTTGAAAGCCATGGCTAAAGCTCTTCCCAAAAACTCAGACTCCAAGCAGCAGTGAGAGAATCCCACGTTTCCTCTGCGAACATGGAAATACCAAAGATTTATGAGAATTGGACAGTGCTGTTGCAGAAGGCAACAATATTTTGGAGGTATTTTATAAATATTTGCAAGTCTAGTCTATATGCTGTCACAGATGTAAATACAACCTTCAAAAAGCGACCTCCTTTTCAGTATTTTATCCTAAACAAAAGGAAATGAAATATAAACAGCCCAGTGCCTTTATTTTCTCTCCCTCTGAATAAGAGCACACGTTTCTCTTGTTCCACTTCAGTGATGCTGTGCTTGAGGTGAAGAGAAAGGAATATTCCTAATTTGTCTAGTTCACCAGGTATTAATGCTGTGTTGGCATTAATGGCATTTTTACATATCATATAATATGTACAATATATGCAGTATATATTATATAAATATTAATGGCACTTCCAGCTCCTTTTCTAGCACTGTGGACTGTAAATTTTTCCCATATCAGGATAAAAGTTTGGGCCTTTGCATACAATAAAAGATGAACTATTGTAAGGAAATGTTTCAGTCAGAGAACAATGCCAAGAGAGCTGTTTATTTTAGAGAAATCTGGTTTATAGCATAGGTTGGAGTTAAAAAAACTTATTCAGGAAATCAGAAGGTTGCTTTGTTTCCTTAGTACTCCAAGCACAGTGGTTTTCAGGGCTGTGCCAGCATTATTAATCGTGCTTATTAATGCTGGCACTTAGTGCCCTGGTTTAGTTGACATGATGCTGTTTGGTCAAAGGTTGGACTTGATGACCCTGGAGGTAGTTTCCACCCTTAACGATTCGGTGATTATCCTGCACTGCCGAGATGAGGCTCCCTAACTAACATTTCCAGACAGCTCTCCGGGTTTGACCTGGTCAGGCTCTGTGAACAGGTAGGCCACGTGTTCCCGCTTGGAATGCTGTGCGCAGCCGGGCTGTTCCCGCAAGGATCCGGGGTGGGGTGGAGCAAACGCAGCTCTTCAGATGTTGTTTTCCAGTGCCGTGATGAATGGGAAGAGCTCCGTTGCCTCGGTGATGAGCTGGCTGCAGCTTAGCAGGGCTCCTTTAGTTAATGAAGTGATAAAAGGGGAAGAAGGACAGATCCAACTCTTTTCGGTTCCCAGGAGTAAAACCCCCAAGGAGATGGGGATAGGGAACTGCGTGGTTGGCTTGGGAAGTGTTTCAGGAGCACTGGCCTGGCTTCTCCCCCGGACAGGGAGGTTGTGTCACTCAGCCCCGTGATTATCCATGACTCAGACAGTGGGATCAGAGCGTGGCCAAGAGTCACACTCCATGGACACGCAGTGCTTGAGGTGGAGAGAGACTTTGGACAAGGGCCTGGAGTGACAGGACAAGTGGGAATGGCTTCAAACTGACAGAGAGTAGGTTTAGGTTGGATATTGGGGAGAAATTGTTCCCTGTGAGGGTGATGGGGCCCTGGCACAGGTTGCCCAGAGGAGCTGTGGCTGCCTCATCCCTGGAAATGTCCAAAGCCAGGTTGGATGGGGCTTGGAGCAACCTGGGCTTGTGGAAGGTGTCCCTGCCCATGGCAGGGGGTGGAACTGGGTGATCTTTA